AATGGCACAGTGAGAACTGAAACGAATAGTGAAACTCGCCATTGTCTCTCCATAATCTCTACCTACACGCCTACTGACTGCACTTCAGATGAAATGAGTTCTACGCAAAACTCTCTACCCTTCTTCTGAAAGGCGAACGTTCAGACGTGCTTGTTGTTGAGGGTAATTTCAATGCAGAAGTGGGTAGACTGAGTGAGGCAGAAAGGCACTTAGGTGGTACTTTCAGAATCCCGGCTGAAAGAAGAGATAACGGTGATCACTTACCACAACTGTGCTTACATAACCGTTTATCTCTAGTTAGTACAAACCTCAAATATAAAGAAAGACATTGTCTGACAACACTTGTCTTCAACACTTGAAGAAGTCGAGAAAGTGGTAGGTAACTTGAAACGACGAAAAGCAGTAGAACCGAACGAACTAGTTTTTGAGGTATTTAAAGACAGTGATGGAGTGTTTTTAGTCAAGTTAACTGAAGTATTAACTAGTGTATGGGAGTCATATATGATCCTCTCTGACTGCGTCAATCAGTGATTATGAGTCTTCAAGAAAAGTAAAAAGTCCTCTTATGATAACCACAGAGGAATCAGCCTGACAAACATCGTATCTAAGTTTCTGGGTTCTATAATCATTAGACGCCTGATTGGAGTTCAAGGACAGCAAGCTCGAGAAAACTAGCCAGCAGCTAGTGTATCAACCAAATATTCACACTCCACAGGTTCTGGAACACAGGCACGCTTACCGATGCCTGACGCTAGCATTCGACTCTACTGATCGAGGTCTTATGGCAGTCTTTCATTGAAAGAGTACTGAGTAAGTACACCATCTTACTGAATACTCTTTATCCAAACACCCGTAGGTGTCATACAGTCTATGGTGAGATGTCCGGGGAGCTGTACTCGTCGAGTGGTGTCCGTCAAGGATACCCACTTTCTCCATTATTCTTCAATTTTATCACAGAAGTTCTTATGGAGGTCTATCTCTTGGCATTTGACTATACAGGGATTAACCAAATCACAAAATTTTTGGTAGACCTAGAATAGGCAGATGACATATTCCTATTGAGTGACGACGCTGGCAAGAGTCTTCTGGACACAATGAGTTGCCAATTGAAAATGTTTGGAATACGTTTCTCGTAATCCAAATACAAATTATTCCTCTAGGACTGGTCTTCACTAGTGCCCCGGCTAACAAAAGCGATCACCATCAATATCAACATAGAACCAGGAATTACTGCGTAACGGTCCGGGTTGCTACAACGCATATCAATACATCAAGTAAAAAGGGAGTGAGGTGCAAGACGAAGATAAGAAAATCCAGTCAAGAGAAATATAAAGTACGAAAAGAGAGAAAGGAAGAATGAGAAAATGGTGAGATTCGGTATAGCGTCATTAAGATGAGGATAATGTATGTATACCTCTGCACCACTGACATCCGTTCTGAACCATATCATCTAGAGTCTCCAACCACTGGTTCCTCTTGTCCCGTGGACCCCAACCACCTAGTCTGCATCGACCCACATAGCTGAAACCAACAGTCAAACACTTCATACATTCATGCCATGTTTTAGTCTGGCCACCTCAGGCCTCTTTCCAGCCTCAACCTACTTCGGCCAACATTGTGTGAGGAGACAATCGGCGACCAGGCATACGTAACACGTGTCCGAACCATCTCAGTCGATGAAGGTTCACAACCTCGTCAACTGATCTACCTCTTCTCCCCAAGACTCTACACCTGACTTCTGCGTTACTCATTTGGTGACACCACGGAATATGGCCTATACTACGAAGGCAACGGTGGTCAAACACCTGAAGACAGCCTTCTCATGTCTTCCACCTTAAATGGCCATATTTCACACTCATACAGTAGAACAGACCGGACTGCTGTGCAGTACACGCGACCTTTAATAGACAATCCGATATCACGGCGGCGCCACAGGTGGCATAGGTTGGCAAAAACCAGTCGAGCCTTTCGTATTCGTACAGAGATTTCATCGGCCACCGAGGCACCAGGGTTGATCCTACTTCCCAGGTAAGTGAAGTGGTCGACACACTCAATCAATACACTTTCTCTTGTTGGCAGAGGCACCGTTGAAGACCCATCCTGGAGTAACAATTTGCATTTGGGTGTTGAGAAACGCATCCCAAACATTCTCAAATTGCCACTCAAAGTGTTCAGAAGACTCTGCATGTTGTCAGTGTCTTCACCTAACAGGACAATGTCATCTGCATATTCCAGGTCTAACGAAAATTCTCCTGTGATTAGGTCAACCTTTGCGTAATCAAGTGACGAGAAGGAGACCTCCATGAGAATATCTATGATAAAATTAAATAAGAATGGAGAGCTTGGGTATCCTTGACCGATACAATTTGACGTGCGCAGCTCCGCGGACATCTTGTCATAGGCTCTAACACGCCCGCAAGTGTTCGAGTACAGAGCCCTCAATAATGTGATGTACTTACTCGGCTTCCTTCTAGTGAGAGATGTTCCCATAAGACTTCTCGATCAACGGAGTCCAATGCCGCCTTCATGTCGAGAAATACAGCGGGCGTCGGTAAGCGTGCCTATGTTCCAGGGACCTGGCGCAGTGTGAATATTTGGTCGATACACCCACGGTCGGGTATGAAGCCTGTCCGCCTGGTTTTCTCGGGCTTACTGTTCCCGAGCTGCACTTAGGCCTCGAAGAAATATAGAACCTAGGATCTTGGACACTATGTTCGTCAGGCTGATTCCTCTGTGGTTATCATAAGAGGACTTCTCGCCTTTCTGGAATAACTGGAATAACCAGTGACTTAGACCAGTCAAAGAGGATCATATTTGATTCCCATATGGTTGGGCGCGTTGAACACTACACTTACTTAGGAAGTCAGATCAGCCCTAGTCGGTTAGTGGCCGATGAAATCTCTGCACGAATCCAGAAGGCTCGATTGGCCTTTGTCATCTGTGGCTCCACCGTGATATCGGATTCTCTATTAAGGGTTGAGTCTACTGCGCTGCAGTCAACTATTTTCTACTGTATGGCTGTGAAAGATGGCCTTTAAAGGAAGAAGACATGAGAAGGCTTCATGTGTTTGAGAGGGAGTTCCTTGGGACAAAAGAAACCAGAAGTTATTAACTTTAGGTGATATGGCTCAGAACCTATCGCAGTGGTGAAGATGTATACACATTATTCTCACCCTAACCGCAAGACTTAATCTCACCATCTCATTCTTCCTTCCTCTCATTTAGTACTTCCTACTTCTTTTGACCGATCTTTCTTTCCTTCTTTATCTTCAATTTTATTACCTAGTAACGTGATGTGCTGATATGAGGTGTGGTAACTTGAACCGTTATGCAGTAATGCCTGGTCTTATGTCGATTTTGATGATGATGCTTAGAGAAAAAAAGGTACTAGTTAGTGTGTGGGAATCAGAGGTAGTCCCGTCAGACTGATTTACTTCACTGATCATACCAGTCTACAAGAAAATGGAGAAGTTTTGTGAACACTACAGAACAATCAGTCGGTTCATAGTTATCAGACGCCTAAATGGAGCTCGAGAAAACGAGACAGATTTCAAACCTGAATGAGGGTGCATGATCACTTTCATCCTTCGAGCACAGGCATACATACCAGCGACCGACATCTGACATATTTTCTGGCCTGAAGACGGTATTCGACTCTATCGACAGCGAGGTGTTGTGACAATATCTGACTAAGAAAGGAGTATCGAGCATGTCTATAACGCTAATCACAGTTCTCCACTCGAACTCACACAGACGTTTTAGGGTGGATAGAAAATCATCATCAGAATTGACGACAACTAGTGGTATCCGTCACTGAAGCTTACTGTCATCGTTCCTACTTAACTTCGTCATAGACCCATGAACAGACAAAACCTCAGGTACGTCTGACTTTTCACGGATTGATCTACTTCCAAGAAGTCACCTGATTGACTTGAAGTATAGAGACGATTTTGTCCTGCTAGGTGAAAATATTGACAAAATCCAGAGTCTTCTGAACGCGTTGACCAGAAATCTGCGTGTGTTTGGCTGGCGTGCATTCCGGTTGCACCTACGAAACGTAAGATGATGCTCCAGGACTGGTCTGCAACTATTTCCAGTTTAAGGATACGGAGTGAAGTGGTGGAATGTGTCGACCACTTCACTTGGTGAGTTGCATCAGCCTGACAAGCTGGTTGCTGATGAAATTTCAGTTCGAATAATGAAGTCCCGTTTGGCATTTGCCAACTTGCATCATCTCTGGAACCGACTGGTGAGATACCTCACTACCCACTAGAGGATGAGTATAGGGCATTTCAGTCCGTTCTGACAAGCTATACGTCTGTATGATGGCTGTTAAGAGTAAAAGATATGAAGACATTACTGGTTCTTGAACATAGGTGTCTTCATAGTATTGCTCACATAAAGTGAAATCATCATGTGAATAATGTCGAGGTTAGGCGAAAGATGCTAGAGAAGACAGGCAAGTCAATTGATGAGGTTATGAACCCTCATCGGCTCAGATGGCTCAACTATATACTGCACATCCTGAGACACCACTTACCTCGATGTGACATACTAAGGGAAGCTGGACTAAGTTGGAAGAGGATTCAGGATGGCCCGATCAAGACCTGATACCAGTCCATGAGGTGGTTTCCTATTGGCCTGAGCCGTGTGCGGAGATACAGACTGTCTGGCTGAGGTCCTCGAGATTATAGGAATCAATGTTTGAGAGCTCTTGGTGACGATAGAGCAGACGTATTTACTCTTTGACTTCTTCCATAGCTTGAATATTCGCACTAACTTTTATCTTCAAACTGTTTATCCTCTAACACAACTTTGTTTACTTCGATGTCACTACTTCTCTATCCACCTGTTCTTTGTATGCTACTGTGAAGTGTAGTGAGTTGGACCAATCCACTTTGTGAGAGGTTCTACATTGATTTTGTCTATCTCTCTTTCGACTTCGACGACTCGCCGGCAATGTTACCACTGAACTCAGGAAGAAATCTTTTGGTGCTTTACAGGTTTCTTTTATATTTCTCATAAAATAAGAAAGTATTGCTAGCTTGAAAAGAAAATAAAAATATGTACACACATACGCATACATTATTAATACATACTGGAAGAATTATTCTTTTAATAAATCTCTCAGACGAAATAGTGTTCCCACGCAGTCTCTAAAAAAACAAAAAAGTAGTACAATCAATTTTAAGTTCACAGAAAAACGGAGTGTATACACAAGTATACAAGAAAATACTTGATATTCTACAATCAGTGAAACAGGATATTACGTATGGCATGTTCATCTTTGATTCAATCTACAGAAGGTTAGATATCCCGAAACATCTGGACGAAGAGGTAGTTAACCATGTGAATGAGTGAAACAGTCTTCAAGCCACTAGCCAACTTAAAGACAGTTAATTAAACCTCTTTTTATCGGCTAACAAAGTGTCTGATAATACATTTCGTAGCAGAAAACAGTTTTATCATAATCTGTATCGTAACAACCTAATTAGACTTGGCAAATAGTTTTCTAGAGTACCTCCAAACTGAATATTTCTGTACATAAACATAGACCTTGATGTTCCGTGTTCGGAATCGATCAGTAGTATGTCTTGAAACTCAATTTATGCTCGTCAACATTCAGATTATTTACAATGATGATCACCGGAGAGTAACCAATTTCATGTTGTCTAGTCCTGAATACTGACTGAATTATATCGATCATTTTACTATGTGGCCCCCAAAATAGGAGGCTCAGCGTCGCGGTGCGCTTTGATGGACTGGTTGTTCTCCAGTGATCAATCAATCCATGTAATCCAGTTCTAAAGGAGGTTAGTTACGGCCCGAATAGCTCAGTGGCAACATCGCTAACTTGAAAACTGGGTGACGTGGGTTCAAATCTCACAGGGAATATCAATTCTTTCCGTGTTGCAGATACTCCTTCCCGAGGAGTGTCAACAAGCACAAAACCTAGGTGCAGGGGGTTCTTGCTGGTTGCTTCCAACCAACTGACACCTGGCATATCTTTAATTCAGGAAGAGCTCAGGCTGTCCTTCTCTAAAGATGTTAACCTGGATCAGTCTGTATCAAGGTCAAAGTCAATATAACTTGTAAGATATTCAGACTGAAGCAGATCTCTTGTATTAAAGATATCCAGATCATTTCCTGTGAAAGAATTGTTTCGACATACGAAACACTGGGATTATACTAAAGTATGCTGTCATAAGGATCTCTTGTAGGACTGTGTCGTGTAGACGAATGGATCACGCTCTTACTGTTGACTAGAATCTGTTGACCAAGAAGTGAAGTGCAAACAGCTAAGCCAAAATAGCAAGACAGTATGGACCGGCTGGTTTCATGTTAGATGGTTGACCCTAATCAGAGACTAGCTCTGATATTTCTTTTTTGTAAATTTGAAAGTGAAATTTGAGCACCATGCTAGAGTTTACTTTCATGTAAACTTCGTTCACAAGGCACAGTGCTGCAGTATAGCTAACAGGATATCTGTTCGCAGAATAACGAAACTTGGGATTTTAATAGCTCTAATCCTTCGAACTGTTTGGATTTATTAGATTCATAAATATTTGAATTTTGTGTCTAGTTTTGAAGTGATAGAAAGAGATTCGATATTGAATATTCCCCTCTAATGAACCACATTAGTTTTGGTTAAATGTCCATTTTCTCCATTAAATAGTATGACTAGGTTAGAGCGAATGAATTACAGTGGTAGATCTCCCCTCTAGAACTTTAACTGTCCATCTGAGCTACATAAGGAAAAGTAGATCTCCAGGTTATCGTTCTCATGGTAACTGAAATTGTTGGTTAGGGACGGCAGGCTATATGGCTAGGAATCGATCTCAGTGGCATAGACATATCCACACTTTATTTTCAGACTAACCGCCACATCATATTTCTCTATTTATTTTACACTATGCTTCTTCTCTTTCTGACTTTCTACAATTGTTGATTGTAGTTTTCTTCTTATTTCTCCATCTTTTATCTCACCATCTTGTATGCTGAGTTGAAGTGTGACAGTCTGAATCGTTTGCTAGTAATACCAGTGCCGTGTTGATAATGACAAACTGGTTGTTGTGTAAAGTGAACTCATCTAGTTTTTTCCTTGGGGTGATATTTACTACGCACACAATCCACCAAATATGGTGAAGTATAACGTCAATCGGAGTATGAGGGTGGTCAGACAAAGACGTTACACCAACATATTTTCTTTTCTCAAGTGTATCAGAAAGTGAAACAATGTACATACACATTAAAAAGAAGTATGATAAAATTATGAAGCTTCTGACTGTTCGCCTAAACTATATGGGAAAATATTGGTGTGCAGATTATGATTCATAAGACAGCAGACAACTTAAAAATAGATGACACCAGTACAGATGCATCAACAGCTTATATCCTGTTTACCGCCTTTTGTCTTCGTTTTACACGGGTTTATGTTTGCTGACGGTATAGCTTTCAGTTGTGTTTACCACAGGATAACTTTGACCTCGATGACCTGATGCATAGTGTCAGCTTAGACTGTTACACAGTTACACTACGTTTAACACTGTTTATGCCTACTTGTCCGTTTACTTACATTTTGCTGAGAAATTATTATTAAGAGTCATACTAGTGTGATGCGTGATACTGATAAAAATGCTTTTAAGTAGTAGTATATAGTGCAACATATTTGACAGAAGTCAAAAGAGCAGACGGTCGGTTGGCAGAATTTCGGGCGAGAGAAATAGGGCATACTAGTTAACAATACGAAAGATAAGAAGATGAAACAAATGAATGGAACAGGGAATGAAGTTAGATTAGTACGAATAACCTTTGCATAATGGATGTTTATGATAAGGTTGTCAACCCTTATTAACACTGAGTGTAACTTGCTGCACTTAAGCAAGCTTCCATTGTGCTTACCATTACTATTCTCAGTAACCACACAACTTTTGAACATAGTTATTACAATTTCTTATCCCTTCGCTTTCTGATTCAGAGATAACAGGATTTTATAAATGTCAGAAGCAGAGGCTACAAAATACTGACACGCCTGATTTTGGTTCAATAAACAAGGACTCCAAGGTTGATTTTGACATTAGCAGTTGGGCTAGCTTCAAAGACTATACACTCTCATAACCTTTAGTTTGATTTGCACTCATGTTGATTGCTGAGCTATACTCATGATTAATTTTGTTATTACAGTTTACATTCGATTTCCATAGGTTTCTTTATGCTCTGATAACATAATCTACACGAGCCAAACTACTTTAACCAGTATGACAATTTATTGAATGTGTTAGTGTGACAGCAATGCACTGAAAGGTGGACACTGATGAGCCTTCAACTTTTATCGCTTCTGAATAAGAACTACGTGGATAGTTGTTAAACAACAACAATAACAACACCTAACAGGCCTTATTTAGTGTCATGGACTTTCAACTTACTGTTCAATATGTCTCCCGAACTGATTACGAAAGTATTAAACATAGAGGGTATCAAGTGAATTCCGAAAACAATAAGACAACGACAATAACAATCATTTTGATTAACATACCGTTCAGCTGCTTGAATATCTGTTTGACCAACAATATCTGAATACATTCGACTTGGAGGAACACGCTCCAATAACTGGGATAAAAATCTTTTGATCTGACACAGAGAATCTGTAGCTGATGTTGTGCATATGCTGTCTGAAGATGAATCTTCTTTTTAAAATGAACAGATGACTTCAACCATTCAGATGGTAGCAGTTCAATAATATTCCGCAATCGCTGTACAGCATCACGAAAAGCCAGTGAACCCGACTGATCAGTTGTTACTCCAAAAGCAGTAAACGGTGAAATGGACTTTTCTTCACTTGGCTTAGGTGTGGCTACTGACAGTAAGCATGCAAGTCCAACTAAGAGATAACGATTCACTAAACAAGTCAGGCTAATATGTTTTAACGTTTCACTGCTGAGTAGGTTTAACCAAAGTAGAATGTTTTTTAAAAGCTGATTCAGAAAGGGAAAAATAAAAAGGATAACATTTTATGAATATACATATATACACTACAACATGTCGATCGAAACATTATTAATGTTGACACTTAGTGTCGGTTTCGAACCTGTGAAATAGAATTTGAAAGCAATTTGAAAGTAAATGACAAATGGTTTGAACCACACACCTCTAGCATTAGTAGGTGAAATCAACCAATAGGATTCAAAGAAAACGAATAGCTGAAACATATGATGTATAGCGCTAATACATCACATGTTTCACATAATCTTCATCTTCTCATTACGCTGTTTAAATTTATCAAGGGACCAGCTGCTTTAAAACGAATAGCTTCTGTAAAAAATAACGGTTCTATGGCCCTCATCCATAAATGATGACCGGATTAGGGCTGTCTTAGACACTGTATTTCATTCCTAAACAGGTATTCTGTAAAAAGCTATCTACAAACTTGAACAGATCAACTGAATTAGAGCAAACAGACACGACTGTGTACAGAGGAATATAAGAAGCTGAACTAAAAAAAGCATAGTGAATTAACCGGAAAGCAAAAATTACCTTTAATCCCATGTTAAACTGACGTTCAAAAAACAGGAAAGCAGGACCTTGACGCTGTTGCATTAAACTGTTTGTTTGTTTGTTGTTGTTGTTGTTGAAATATAAAAAGTAATAACATAAACATACGTATAGGAAGTCTAAATAATAGAAAATTGTGAAACGTCATGAAACTGCAATCAGCGAAATTATGACCATAAAAATGCATTAACTGATTGCATATATTATATATCAACCATACAAATGAATTGGAGTGAGTAATGTGACATCTTATGCAAAATTATAGGTAATTATTACTATAGGTAATAAAATTTCTCATAAAAAGTATACAAGTATTATTTTCAAGTTAACAGGTACCTCCAAGTCCACATACTAGAGGCTGCAATCCACATTTAGTATATCCTGGTTAGAAATAAGACTCGATTACCAAAACAATTCTACAGAGAATGAGAACAGACAGCACTTGGTTGGTTTTGAGTAGTAGGCAAGTGAAAGAGTCCTGTTAAGTGTGACCGTTAACAAAATACATGGATATTTTGAACGCCTTGAGCAGAAATCTAAGTATGCTTGAGATTGGTTTTGCACTCGTCGAATGTAGACTGATGCTTAATGACCAGTCAGCATCGACTCCCAGTTTAAGGAGATGCAGAATGCGTTGACCACTTCATATACGCAGCGTTAATTCGCTAGTCTCTGGCAAAAACTTAGCTCGGATACAAAAGGCGTACTCCACCTCTGGAGCCGGTGAAATATCCGAATACATATCTGAGGATGAGTATTACTGTATGACAGTCCACACCATCTCATCTACGATTGTAAGATAAGGTGGTTAGAGGTTAAAGACATGGTGATACTGGTTTTTGAACCTGGATTTCTTTCTAGCGTCGTTCCTGTGTCGTGGGGTCAACGTGTAAGCCATGGACAGATTAGAGGCTGAGTACTAGGCAACATTGTGATACAATAACACAAACATTTAGCAAAACAGAATGACACCTATTTAATCTTGAACAAAGCTCAGTGATCACTATGTATGCACTGACTCGTAATTACACTATAAGATGGGAAAGGGTAATAACTTTAAAATTGAATTTAGCTAGGTAGACAAGTATGATTAATCAATAAGTTTTTGTTCATCAAATCAAAGTCAAACATATGTGACAGAAGTAAAACATCACCCATTACAGACATTTCAAAAACTCTACTAACACTATAAATTAAAAAATGAAGAGCTACTGAACTAAAAAGGTTGCTTTGATATAATTAAGAGTAATAAACTGTACTCTGAACGTCATCATGTGGTCAGGAAAATACTATATCAGTGTGTGCTACATCAAAAGAGAGATAATTATGCTTTCAAAACTTCAACAAATATTATTGGAGCTCAACAACTAAGTACAGGTTCATGTAATACAGTGGGTCGTCTCTATCATATGAGAGGTATGGTGAGATGTACTAACTGTCTAAACGTGCGTGATTGGAGTAGTGGGAGTATTCTGCTGATTGTAAGGCAACTGAATGATGGGCTGAACCACGTATCCAATGCATTTAACTAATTACAAATTTGCACACTAGACTTCAATCTACGCCTATTGTCTGGTAGCCTATAAACTAACTGATTAACCAAACCAGAGTAGATGAAGAGCGAAAAAATACTTGTGAAGAATATGAAACACTCGTACTGATATGCAGAGTACGCTGGCCGAACCGGAGTGAAGCGAACATCGCATAATTTCCGAATTGATCATCCAATTTAACATATAATGGCAAAGCAAAGTCAGCTAGCCAGATCCAGTTAGTTCGAAAAAGTCAGCTGTGTGAGCTGCATTTATTCAAGTACTCCGCTGATACGCCCAGCCTTGAATGAGTGGAACGGTCGTCCCGTTTATATATTACTCCCTCCTGGTCAGCCACATATGCAGATCACCCTACACTTTTAACTACTCATGCTGTTCAATAAATAGTATGTATTGTTAGCATATGAGAACACTTTTCTGTCAGAGATGATACTTTGTGATCCTGAGTGGTTTGCAACCGAAAAACTGTCGACATAACAGTTGGACAGTTGAAAAACTAACCTGTTGTAAGATATGTGAATGTGGGCCATTCAATTTATGAATAATTTTCAAAATGACCACCCAACAGATGAAGTGACTTCTAACTGACAGTTTGTCGATTGCGAATGGAATCTCTAAACGCCTGACTCACGACTAGAGTCAACATCATCAATCTAGAAGAAAGTCGAAAAAAACTGTTCATCTGTAGGAATACCGGTAGCTTGATTGAGGTCTGAACTTAGGAGTCAAGCATTTAGATTAATAGGTAACAAACAGTAGACATGCCGAAAACAGGAAATATATTAGATGTGACCTTTGTACAGCATTAGTACTCAGTAATGCTTCATTTCGTTGGCGGAATAGACAGAGTAAAGCGTAGGGGATGTCAGTGTTATATCAGTTTTCTCATCAGTCAAAAAGGTAGCAGTTCCTATTAACAATTTATTCACCATAACGAAATGAAAGTGAAACAGTCACCTACTTCTTTGAATAGAGTGGTATAAAAATATCTTCCTGGATTGTATTTTCGATACGTTTAACAATGGATGTGAATAATTTCTCTGTTGGACGACTACCAATACGTACAGTTGGATATGTTGAACTGAATTCACGAATTAAGGTGACTAACCGCAGTGACTGTTTCTCTGATAATGGATCCCATGAGGCAGAAATCAATTCTAAGCAGAGAAATAAAAATAAGCACAAACAAGAAAACAAACAGCGGTATAAGAAATGGTTCAGTATACAGTAGCGTCGTACCATTAGAATGTCACCGGTCATAAACAAACGAAACAATAAAATTGCATTAAGAAACAACATTTTCAGCTTGAATAACAAATGCCAACATATCAGCAGCGAGGAACCGTGTCTACCGATAACAGTCGTCTTACATTTTCAGTTGGAAAAGATTAATTTCGAAATAATGGAGGAAACAAAGAATATCAGAGAATTCCTAGAAGCTTGGGATTTAGGTCAGTCAGCAATCAATAGATGTATAGACATAGACCCAGTCTATCAACCAATAAGAAAAATGATAAACGACAGGAACAGCCAACAGGAAAATCTATACAGTCAATGACATAGCAATCGAAGGAAACAACCAATCACAGACCATATCGTCAAAGCAAGCCACTAAATCACTCACGGAGAGATATTGACAGCTCACTACATACTGAAGTTAGTGGTGATGATGTCGTCTAGCAAGACGATGAAAGCTTCACGATTAAACAACCCAGCTCAGAGAACACAATACAACTAAGATTAATTTCAAAGCTATTAAGCGAGATAAAAAAATCCTGAGGTCAAGCGTAATCCAAAGTGCAATCCAAGGAAGTTTCCTAATGACATAAAACAGTTTGATAGATCACTGTCTACGCTTGAATTCTAAAAGAAGAGTTTACATCATACCATCATTCGGAAGGGAGTCAAACAGCATAGTATTCATCTTCTGAAAAACGTACTCTGCAATCAGGCTCATTTTCGCTGAGGAAATGAAACATGGGCTGCAGCATAAATCTCAAACAATATAAATAATTACAGGATATCCCATAACGGCGATCTATTTGCTTGCGTTTGTGAACGCATGTGCATAGGAAGGATTAATCAACATATACACTTAGAGGTGGTAAAACATGTACGAAAATGGTTACAAAAACAAACGGATTTGACCAACATCGATAACGGCACGGGAGAGACAACCATCTTCATCCATGGAAAACCACATTAATTGACTTAACCCACAGGATTAATATTAAAACAACATTTACAATCTTGCACAAAAACTGTCAAGGGTGTAAACTTATATTTGCACCAATCCAAGTCCCCATTGTTGATTCGAAAACAATTTTTGCTACCACCCAACTTACCCTGGTAGTATTTATTTTATTACACCCAATGTTATAATGCTTAGTTTATTACACTTGGTTTCATTTTTTTGGGATAAAAATGCCTTGATGAGTGAATGTGCGGTCATAATGTTCCAAGTATATTTCTCAAATACAACACAATTTTCAGAAAATGTTCATCTCCTTACAATTCTTCCCACTTACAAACATGAACAGAACAAAAACAACAAGTGTAGCAGGATAATAAGAGCTCATTCTTACTATACCAGACAAATTGTTCATTATGGCATTCGAAAGTAGACAAATTCTTATCTCAACTCACTTCCAACTTAAATTTACGTACTGAAGTACATACATTGGAATAACAGAAAGGATTTTCCTTTTGGCTTATATGCACATCTTCAAGAATCAAAGATTAAGAGGTCCTCTATATGCACTGGACAACGCGATTACCGGTCATCTGACTGATCCTAGGAGACAGTGCTGACAGCCTTAAATAACTCGAAGTGATCATTAGGTAAAAGAATTCAAATCTACTACATTTCACCAAAGCGACAGTCATCAAGAGACTTAATCTAAATGTATATATCCAGATAGATACAGTCATCAACCTCCCACTCCCATGGTAATTTGTTTACAATAAAACATATGCAAACTTTTGATATGTCACTTTATCCTGCATATTTTTTTACATCACTATCTCCAACATTTTGTTCTGTTACAAGCATTAATATTTTATCTGAACTCTGCTCACCTTACTCTTCAAGTTATTGTAAATTCATAGCATTTTGAAGTCATACAACCTACGATAATGATTTTCCACTGACCTCTTAACCTTCTGCTTCAAGACCATTCACCTTATATCAGTAGTCCATCTTCCTCTCATATTCCTAGCGATTTCATTTATAATATCCATATTATCAGTTAATTCCTGTCAATAACTTCTTGTCAATTTGGTACAACTATATTCAACTGTTGTTGATATTGTTTAGGTTGTAAGCAGTTGAGAGGAATCCTAGAAATAATAAGAAATGAGTTGACAATATCCTGCTATACCTGTTGGTTTTCTTTTGCTGCTCTGTTGCAGTTTGTCTTCTAGTAACACTAAATTATAACTGTTCACCCTCTTCATCTACATATTAACAGGTTTCTTCGAAATGTAATACACCAATACATGACATTGCTCATATAAACTTCGTCTTTTAATTACACTATCCAAAGATTAACAGATTCGCCTTATCTAGGTGAACTGATTGATTACTGACTAGAATCTGAAGGTATTTAACCATAAATTACATATCCTTGAAGATCAATCACGCTCATGAAAAAGTACATAATCAACAAGAGTTGAACACTCATGTGGCTACAACTGAAAACCCAACACACAAAGCAACTACCTAGGAAAAGTTGTGTAATTATTGACAAACAGTTTAGGCAACTCAACTGTAGTAAGTGAAATTAGCTCACGTCAAGCAGAAAAAAGATGTCGTACATAAATGAAAACAGCAGCTTACCATCTAATCGCTGTAAGACAACTTTTTCTACAGATTTCGGTATAACTCGAAGGTCATCATCAATTTCAGTGTCATTACTTGCTTTGTTATCAGTGTTATTGTTATTGTTCACATTTTTCTTACTATCATTATCATCGTTAAGGCTAAATTGATTAGTTGGTTTTATATCAATCCCATCATTTGGTGGGAGACTACAAAAGTCCAGCAAATCTTGAAACCATTTCATTTCTTCAATTGAATTGGAATTATTCTGAAAGAATGAAAGAAGATACAATTTCACTGTTTGTATAATTTCAAACCAAGTATCAAATCAAGTATCAGGAAAGTTTGTTAGTCGGTTACTAAATTTCATAATCTTAACAAAAAGATGAAAAACACACTTTTGAAAAAATAATTAATTTATCATTATGAGAAATTTATGATGAGGAATTCAGCGTTAGAAACACCGAGTTTAGAGTTAATACTACGGTTTACAGACATGAACTGGAGGTTTAAATGATTAAATTATTATCGGTCTTCTTCTTCATTAGCATTTACTCGCTTGGTGTTACGGCATATCAGGAAGGTCTACACTACAAATTAATGAAGGTTATGGAAACAGTAAGGTTGAAATAGTCATAAATCATCACACCTATTTATACCACTGGACAACGCTACACAGTGCAACTCACTACTAGGATCTAAATCTTCGCTATTCTTTTTAAAAATGTGGGCTGACGTGAAACGTCATTCGAGTAATGCGAGACCGCATGTTAACACTAACTGGCTGGTTGACTTTCAAGAATCTATTTCACTAGATATGAGGAAGTCAAATAGACCTTAAGTTTAAAAGTCTGTATTTCATACATGTTAGCCTATTGTAAGCATTAAGGTTGAGTAGAATGCACAACATTATTTGTTTAAGCAAGCGTAAAAAGACCCTATTCGACCCAAATTTCCAGTACAGCAAGCTATTGAAAATGATCTAATTCTTTATCCTGTTGAACATATAAAAGCGGTGTATGAAAGGAACATTAGCCAGTTGAAATATCAGAATTCTGCAACAAATATTGATAAGAGATGAAGAAGTGTTGAAACTTAAGGAGAAATAGACAACTGTAACGTTAAGGTTTAGAACTCCACAATAACCGTTGAAAATGAAATAGGATGAATCGCATCTATGAATCTCCATTAACTCGAGATACAGCATGACCATAATCCAATATCATCCACTGGAATGGATCCTTCAAACACCACATAGCTGGTAACCCACATCATACCTTCCCAATTGGAACTACTGGAAATTCATGACAAAGTAGACTAGGAAACAGGGGTAAATTTCGATTCACTAGGTTGCCTCACGCAGCACAGACTGATTTCAAGACTCAATGGTTATGGGTCCGACAACGTATAGGTGTGTGGATGGGTACTGCTGAAAATTTTGATAATGAGATGAAATAACTATCCAGAGATGCCCAGTTTTTATCGGTCACTTGGACATTTAAGGAGATAATAGTAAACGTATCAACAAAATTTCTACTCTTCTTCAAACTGTTTTTAAAAAAGTATATTCATCATATCTACATACATGATATAGGCTATTGAAACCAAAGCACAAAAATCCTTAAAACAATTCACAGTATTTTGGTAGTACTATGTTCTCTGAGGGGATGACTTAATTGTGAAGCTTTTATTGTCATTCTAGACAACATTATCAGCACAAACCTTGGTATACAAATGCATGGAACTGTGGCTTAGTTGTTTAGGGCGATGACTACCAACCATCGGAACAAGGATTCGAACCCCGTTCCACCTACCGACGTTTGGGCAGCCAAGTAGTATCACTAGCCCTCACATAATATGTGTGGCTCATTGCCTGCTGCTTCGAATCCGTTACCCAATGATCGACAGTCACCTCCCTAAACCACTGAGCCGCAGCTCATGGTATCATCAAAATACAACAATAAAGCAACTTACAATCAAAGGATTCCAACCGATCAACTGAATACGTATTAATGGACTAAATAATTGAGGCAAGCATAAAGATACATAGGCTTGACGATAGGATTCGGGTGATTTAGCACGCCATTCGGTAAATCTTTCAAGGATTAGCGGTAATTCACAAAACTCTTCAACAACATCCTCGAATAAGGCATTAGCATCGACTAATAAAGAATCTGATATAAAAACAAAGAAAGCTGATTATATTTAATGTGCACTTAATAAATAACAGATTTATGTATTTATATAAAGTGAAGTAGTTTTATCGGAAATGAAAGTTGTGTATAACTCGTCATTTTATTCATTAAAACTTTTACTTTCGGACACAGAAAGCTGGAAATTTCGATTACATCCTATGAGCTAGTCATCAAACGATAGCTGAAGTACTTAGTATGAGTAGACCTCCATCGACTAAAAACTGATATGCGACCGTTTAGCTAGGCAGTATGATAGTGAGATTTACAACTCGGTGGTCTGGTACATGTATTCCATTTCACCTAGTCTAAATAAGGAGTAGTGTGGTTGGAAACCAAGAAGCACCAGTTTCAAGTCAGACAATCAACAGAGCAAAGCAAACCTGCGAAGCATTGGGGACTAGATAGCTTAAACAAAAATAAACGGATTTCGCTCCCATCATATGACATTTTTAGCTACGCTCCGTTGCCCTAGTATTATTACTTTTATATTTTAGCAACGAATAAGGTACCAAGCAAATTCATCCACGTCTGACTTAAACCTCGGTCAGAGTGCAAAGTTATTTAGCTGGATAAGAAAGACATCTGTGGGGGAAAATCGATTTCAAATTACTGAAGTTAAATAGTTAGGCTTGAATTCAAAGTGAGGTAAAAGAGAATTTAATGGTTGTGATCAGTTAAACAATGCAAAATCTAAAACGTCTGAGGACGCATGAACAGATGCAGAGATTTTGCAAACAGTTTTTCAACCAATTAAAAAGCAAATATACAAAAAAACAGGTAGATTATAGAGGCTTTCGTCACCGTACCTCCCTACTTCGACAAAAACAAATTTTAAAAAACAGTGACTATCACACCGATACGTATTTACAAAGGCCTATATGCGTCCTAGAGAGTACACCAATTTGGTAAACGAAATCTATGTGTCTATCATAAAAATAACTTCACCAAGGTTGAAAGAGAACGTTTCCTGCTAAAAACCTTACGATAAATTGAACAAGTCATCATGTCTTATCTATGAGAAGTAAGTACAGCTTCTCATACGTCCAAATGGATATACACTACACCTGTGGAATCAATTACTTCGGACGTACAGTAGAGACTCCACTAGGATGCAGTAAAGAACATCACCCAACATGTTTGAGCAACTGAAAATTTCAGACAATGACAAGTTCTATAAGGAGGCATCTAATTGGAACAAGTTTCCTATTGGACACAAACAGAACCTCCATAATAATTTATCAGCTCTGGAACAAATTACCACACGGTATTCATCTTTGTCTTCACCAAACGCGGATAATGATATAATCCAGAAATATGAAATCGACTTACAGATAATTCTAAGGTAGACTCAATGTCATCCACTCACCCCTTAGGTGCATAAAACATCTAACAATGCACGCCAATATAAGGCATGCTTAATTATTTTAGTAAAGCCAATCGATGTGATCATACCTTAGACCTAGAACAGTACTTTTTTATTGATGATTGGATTGAACACTTTCCGTAAAAATGAAATGGGAGTCTCGATAAGATGGGTTGAGCTACCACTGAAAAGTGAGTTATACTGTTCAAGTGTATTCTGATTTCTAGATAACATTCAGTTTTGCAGAAATCAGATCAGCAACACTCAGGCTCCGTTTTACAACGAGCCACAAATAAGTAATAATTCCGAATTTTCGGCTTAACTTGAATACGTTACAATTTCAACCTAATTTAACTGATGATGTGCACATGATATTTTGAGCAGAAGTAAGTCATCCAGCTAATGAGGCTGCAGATTACATATTGGATTACTTTATTTGACATGACGCAGTGGTATAGTGTTATTTACGAGTCAATACTCTACAACACTGCTCAAGTTTTACTTTTATACAAATGAGGCTGTAGATGCTCCGTCAACACCTAAGTGGTTGGGATATGCATTGCATCTACTTCAAAGTGTATTGACAACCAGACTAAAATTTAGCTGAAGAGTATCCAAACTAAAATAAAGGCATGAAGTCGTGAAATGCTTTTATATTATATGGCAGTGTCAACTTGTCTGCTTGGTCTTCACTAAGTTAACGAAGTTCAAAATCCTTCAGAATGATGAAAAAAGATTAACTCTACAAGTAATTTTTTTTCCCCTCTTACTGCTATTCTTCTTATTCTTGAATATGCTATGGTTCTTCTAAATCCAATGATTCGGTTTGTGTGTTGGTGTGTGACGTGATAACATGAACCAAAGCTCTTTTGTGCATGAGCTACATTTTTCTGTTGATTTGTCTGTCGGATACTGTTTTACGGTGGTGTAATCCTATACAACACAAAACCTCACTACAGGGTAGAATGAATCTCAAGTTCATTATCCATATACGTTATGCGTAAGTACACCTTTCTAAAAAGAAAACTTCTAATTACTCCTAAACTAATATCAACTTTTAATAAGTCATAAGGAAATAATTTTCATGTGATTGAGAGTTAAAGTGGTAACCACAAAAATGCACTAACCAATATCAGCTCCACGTTTAACTATCACAGCCTGGGGTTCTTCATCATCGGTACTAGTCCCATCCACATGAACCTGTACAACACCGGGATTTTCAAGTTCACGAGCACGTTGACGTCGTATTCTATACAAGTGGAATAAGTAAAGACGATAGATATATTATTAACAAGCGATATACCATCAAAAACAAATTCATGAATGATAAGACCTTTAAAGAGATCCAGTATCCAAAGGTTCATCAATCATAAAATGTTCTTACCGTCGAAATTCGCGTTCAGCACATCTTCTTCGTCTAGCTTCGAAAATCTTGGCTACATCTGGTGTTCGAGACGCACTTGTAGTGGAGTTGATTGCTTGAAAAGAAAAAACACATGCTGTCCAATAACTATAAGGACTTATTCCATAATTGAATATATGCAATAAGTCAGTGTAAAAAATGAGAATTCGCCAAAATTAAACTTTACAGTCTGTTCGGAGAATACCGTTATAGAATCCAACTTACTAATCTTTTGGATTCACACAGTGAACATAGGAAACATACTCATTTAGTGCATGGTTTCTCTCTCTATTGAAAAAAACAGCATGTTATACATGATATCTCATTAATTATAACCTCAACCTACAGCTGCTACTTTGATATCGTGGTCGGTCTTACATAACACAATGACCTAACACACTTATTTCCTCGAGGTATTACCATGACGGAAAGGTCAGTTGGATGGTGTTAAGACAAAAATAATTTGCCGTCGTGGAGTAAGCTAATACGCTATGATGGCGACCCGAGAACGAAGCCATACTCCTGGCTGGGTAGGGTTTGAAAGCACTAAGATGTTTCTCGCGCATGACCAGCGTTACCATGCTGATATTGTTCTACCTATTGGAAAGGAAAAGTTAGAAAAGGTCAATCACAAAAATAGGACACACCCTACTCCGCGGTCTTCCTGTAACAGCAATACTGGCTTTGTGTAGCGGGGATTTAAACAATCAAACTTAGATCAGAAATAGTCAAAAGGGTCTGCATTTGACTGGTCATGAAGTTCAAGTGAAGCTAAACAGTAACGAAACCAGCATGTTCCACACTTGATTGTGGGTGCAACAAATCAGATATTCACTCTTCGCCAGGTTCTGGAACACCAAGCACAATTTTCAGCGCCCAACAGTAGCTACATTTATTGACCTGAAAGCGGCTTCATGGCAGTGCACCTCACTGAGAGTTCTACTGAGTTAGCACTCCACCCTGTTGGAAGCTTCATATTCGAGTACTTGTGGCGTATTAGAGCCTACCTTCGGGAATCAGGTAAGTTGTGTAGTTCGAGTGGAGTAAGTGAAGGATATCCACTATCTCGGTTCTTATTTAGCTTAACCAATGAGGTGCTTATAAGGGTTTTTCTCCCGTCGCCCAACTTTACAGTGATTCATCCTGTTACAAGACAATCCTTGAGAGATCCGGAGTAAGCAGATCACATGATCCTGTTAGGTGAAGATATTGACAAGATGTACAGTCTTCTGAACACCTTGGGTAGCAATTTGAAAATGGTTGGGATGGATTTCCTTCCACCCAAATGAAAACTGTTGCACCATGATTCGTTCACTCTGACGCCTTGATCAACAATAGGGAGTGAGATGGTTGAGTGCGCTGGACACTTCACTCACATGGGAAGAGAGGAAGAGCCCTGGTGAGTTAGTGGCCGAAGAAATCTCCGCACAGATACAAATGGTTAGATTGGCTTTCATCAACTAGCGTCACTTATGACACCACCATGATTTCCAAATCCCTATTAAGGACTGAGTGTACTTAGGTGAAGTCGTCCCCGTCCTACTATACGACTACGAAATATGACCATGAGAAGGTTTCAGGTGTTTGGCTACCTTAGTTTGTTGGCATAGGCCGTGTGTCGTGCTACCAACGCCTCAAGGAGTGTAGTGGTCGGGCGCAGAGCTATGGGCAGAAGGGGAACGTCGGTTAATGAAGTTGTGAAGCTTCACTAACTGAGATGGTTTTGAAATGCACCACACATTTCTTGTCACCATCTGTTCTGTCATACAATTTTCGTTTAAGAAGGTTCAGACTGGAAGGCGACCAGACTAAAATATAACATCAGTTAACGAATTCTTTAACTGTTGGTTTGAGTCATGTAAGAAAATGAAGATTTACTGGTTGCGATTCGCGTGACAACCATCTTACGTGGGTAGAGACTATGTGGTACGGGTAAGAATCTATACCAATGGCTTATATGCAATCCCATTATCATCACATAAACCATCATTTCTCATCTCGTCATCGTTTCGCTCCGTCTTTCACTGTTTTTATGATTCTCTGTAACTTTATTTCCACTTTACCCTGTTTCCATATTTTGAATTTCTTGCTGTGATGTTTCCTACTGTGCTCAAGTGAGGGGTGACAAAGTGAATCGTTACGCTGTAATTCTAGGTCTCGTAGTCATATTTATTATTTATTATTATTATTATTTGTCCCTTGGGTTCCTAATGGAACATAGAGCCTCAGTAGCACATCTCCATTCCACTCTGTTCTCTGAAATCCTTTGAACCTGGCTCCACGACTGCCCACAAGCTTTCATTTCATCCTCGCACGATCTCCTCCATGTCACATTCGGCACCGACACCCAACTCGTCGCTTCCCATCTGAGTTCCACTCGAGGGTCTGGCCTGGCGCGTGATGTCCCCGAATGGTCTTCTCAGTGCATGCCCAATCCAATCCAATCCATCTCCACTTCTTTCCAATGCATATTTGTTGAGTGATAGGTTGTTGGTTGGTTCGTCACCAGCCAGAGTTCCTTGTTGCTTATTCTCATTATTCTGGCCACCTGAGCTTCAGTAACGAGCCAGCGTAGGCGGCAGTTGTTTGTTGGAAATCCTTTTCGTAACGCGTCAAGTCTGTGAACCAGATAGAAGCACTGACTTCACGTTGGTGTTGAAAATCCGGATGTTGTTCACACTTAATGCTGAGTGCAGTGCAGTGCAGTGCAGAAGATCTCTACACTGGTTTCAGGCTAATGAACGCCTGTCGTGCTTTTCCTACCCTGACTTTGACGTCCTCGTCTGTCCCGCCACCTGTAGTTGAAACAGTGGTACCTAGATAGGTGAAGGAGGCTACTTCCTTTAAGTTTCTCCCGTTCATGGTGATTGGAGTTTGTTGTTGCTACTTTTGTTGGTTGGGTATCTTCATCACCTCTGTCTTCTCTATATTCACTTGAAGTCCCGTCTTAGCTGCCCCACCTCTTCTGTCAACTTGTTAGTTTTTGCCAGTAGATCTTCAAGTTTGTGTGACATTCAACACAAGCCATCGGTGAAATCCAGATCTTCTAGGTTCTTTTCCGCAGTCCAGCATATCCCCCTCTTCTCACAGCTCCTCACTGTTGGTTGCATGATCCAGTCCACTACAATCAGGAATATCATGGGTGATAGTAGGCAGCCTTGTTTCACTCCTGTCTTCACTTCAAAAGCATCACTAAGCTTCCCATTGTGAATTACTTGGCATGAGGCGTCTTCATATAGTTGTTGAATGAGGCTGGTAGTCATATTAGCTGACTGGAATTAATCACAACACCGTATTGTTTGGTGTGCAAGATTTTTTTAAAGCAACTCAACAGCCTAATGTATAGGTTTATCTATTACGATATACGCCACAACAAGAGAAGTTCAGATGAGACCTTACTCAGTATTTCTTTTACAATCTAGTTTATTCTTAGGCTTCCGCTTAACAACTCATTTATCACTCATTGATAAGCACTCAGCCACCTTTTGCACAGCCACGCAGTAGGCAATGAGCTAAACATATTGTGTAAGGGCTAGTGATACTACCTGGCTGCTCAAATCTCAGTAGGTGGAATGGGGTTCGAACTCGTGACTCACTGGTTGATAATCATCTCCCTAAACCACTGATCGACAGCTCCATTCACTCACTGATTGACGGTGTGAAAAGAATTATCGGTTAATGGAAGTTATTCATGGTACGCAATTCCTACCTACAAAACAACTCATTTCATCATATTTCGCTAAACTACTAAACATTCAGTCAGTAATTTATGCGTATGGATGAGACACTATATTTATCATATCATATCATGAACCATATCATATTGAGCACATCTCTTCTCTTCTGTCAAATAAAGGTTGTAAAAACCAACTCTGCAGTTACCCTGTGTAAAATGCATAATCCAGATGTTGGAGATATATGGAAAACTGACCACACGTTCAAATAACATTACAATCGGATGGGAAAACCGTGATAGCATTAGTTTATGATGCAATCTTCCCTTATTTCCAAACCTTTTGGGAAATAATTTGCATAACACACAAACAAAGAGCATAAATAGGAGAACTTACGCTGGGATACTGCATCAGCCAAATCTTTCATATCCATACGTCGACGTTCAACTAGTTTATCGTACCGTTCACGAAATATGATAATAGAACGTTTCTCCAGATATTCTATTTTCGTCATCTGTAGTTAGTGTGATATGTGTGTTCCGAAAAAACATGTGTAAATTATAAGATTTTATGAAACTAATTATTTTTCTGCACGATAATCTGATAAATGACTCGCGTTTGAATCTCACAGGTGACATTAGTTCCCTCAAGTTTGCAGATACGTCTTGCTGACGAATGCCAAAAAGCCCAAAACCCAGAGTCCGGGCCTGCCTGACGACTGCTGCTAACCGACTAAAATGATCATACTGTTTTCAGAACACAATAGTCGTTTACTGTCAGCCATAGTTGAGTAGTACTTGCATAGGTGCGTAGCCATACACCCAAAGCTTTCAAGTGGCTTTCCAATGGTCAACAGGCGCTTCCCTTTCACAGCAATTCTAGATTTAGAACTGACTAATACATGTAAGCAGAAGTCCTCTAACTGACTGACAGTATGCAGAAAAACAATCTACTGATCCACGAAGGATCTAGAAGCAAACATTATACTGAAAACCAAAGCAAAAAACTGAGAATAATATGGCATTTTACACATGTCAGAATAAGAAATTATACGTCATCAGCAAACTAGAGGAATACGTAGTTTCAGTAATGGAGACAAGAGAAACCCAGCATACCAACCACGCTATTTATCCGGAAGGCTGCTGCAGTTCCGGAGGACGGGTGTCGATGAAATCCCAAAAGGAACACACAAGTATCTGTATTAATCGTCAGCTTATGCTACATGAGAAAGAGTGAGATATTCGTTGACTATCACGAGGCTCCACAAACAAAAAGAAAGTGATTTTCCTTTGCTATGCAACTGTGAGATGAGGTTACTCAAAAGAAACGACGCAATTAAACCACGTGATTACATGAATGAGTGGAAAGTATTCACATGGAAATTTTTAAACGACAACGCATTAAGTCACACTTATTGTTTGAAAGTTATGAATACTACTTGGAGCCCCAGACCTCAGTGGATTAAGTGCAGTTCAAACTCATGGCTGAAAACCAAGTAACTCTAGGTCAGTGGATCAGCTCTGTGTTAGTATTGCGTGAGTACTGTTGAAATTCAAACAAACGCATTGTAATAACATAGTAGAAATAAGATGGTCAGTTCAACAATAGTGTTGTGAGCTCTTAAGTAAGAGAGGAACCACGATAAATACTTCTGCAAACGTAACTAAAAAATTACAAAAGGTTGCAGAAAAAAATCTATAATTCTTTCCAAGTAAGAAGAACCAATATGGATAAGATTTATTTTCAGGCTATAACATCATAAAGGTCATGGCCAAAAAAAGTCACCCATGACTAACAGTGTGTTAGTCATATCTTTGTTCCATACACGACTTTAAGATTACAAAAGGGTTTTGCGACTGCTGCACTCCAACTACATACATTAACTCCATCATGGCATTTGACTTCATCGACCTAGCAACTATTTGTATTGAAAGGTATTATCAGAGAGCACATCATTTAGTTGAACATATTCTATCCGAAGGCCTGTAACCATATGAAGACCTATGAAAAGTAATATTCATCAACGAAGTTAATCCCTATCATCTGTACTCAAATTTATGATATAAGTTCCAATCAGGATAACTCATTTTTGCCTCAAACTCATCTAAAAATCTCAATCTAATCGAGTTTAAAATCTTCCCCACTGACCTAACCTCTTTACGTAAAAATTAACAATACTAACCTGAAACTTCAACCTCACCCATTAGTAATGTTGATGGCATGCTAATGTAAAGAAAGTGACGGGATTGATCATACAGTTTTCACTGCCAGCAGTATGCGTTTTTTTAATCCGGTGTTAGAACAATGAAATCCCATGTCAACAATACCACAAAGGCTACGTGATAGGTGTCAGGCGGATGTTCAATGAGGTCTGTGGTTACAAATCTTTTTCATTGTCAGCTGCCCTGCAGGAACAAATTCCACGATGTGGCTAGTCGGGAAGTGTCCACACGCTTCCAGTAGTATACAAGATTCCAATCAAACATAACCTATCCTCCTCAACTCTGCCTCCTCCCTTGGCTTCACCTACTGATAACAATATGAAGCATCTCACAACTTCCTCAAACAACCAGTCTGCAACCACTGCCAACGAAAGACACCACCATAACCTCACTCCTAGCTTCATAACACCCCACTATCGACTTCACATTCCAGCGCTCAACGTCCAAACCCAATGCCAAATTGGATAGCAGGCATCGCTCTCGCCAAAACTTTGGAATCTCGAGTAATGGATGTATGCTGTGTCTCTGAGACACTTGTACAGGATACGACTGTGTTTATTAACTTGACCTTACCTATCCAATGCAGTGAATCTCTAAAATTTAAGTCATAGGCTCATTAGCGTAGGCACAGCAGTGGGTTGTTGAGCAGAAAGCGCACTTCTCAACTTGATACTAACCAACAGGCATCTGTGTGCTGTCCGACTGAATAAATCTGTCGGATCTAGGAAGAGTTCATGAGACATGCCGAAGCCCTTTCATAGTCTCCACTTACGAGCCCACCGACTGCAGTTCAGATGATACAAAGGATCAATTCCATCAAAACCTGTCAACTTTGCTACAGAAGTAAAACGCTCACCAGGCGACTTTAGAGCTCAAGTGGGAAAACTGAGCTAATCGAAAAGGGATCTTGGGGGTATCGATGGAATCCCATACCAACGAAAAGACAAAGGTGGTAGTCTGTTGCAATCTCGTTCTGGTAATCAGTTGTTCCCAGTCAGCACTAACTTCAAACATAAGTAAAGCTAATGGTTCACATGGTATCCGTCAGCATCAAACCAACGATGGATACAGTTAGGTCACATTGCTGCAAGCCATCGTTGGAGAGGATTGGTGAATTGCCATTGTTTCTACAGTCCCTGTTTAGATTCTGATCACGTGTTGGTACCAGGTCGTGTATGTCTGCTCCTTACTGGTCGCAGAAAACATGGGTCAGAAAAGCCCGACCGTGTTCGATTGGAGGGAGGGAACAATTAAGCATTAATGTGAATGAAACAGCAGTGGTCATCTTCAGGAAACCTGACATGATATTCAGTCTGAGGTAGAAATAGCGATAAGCACAGTTGGTAACCTACATCCAAAGGTTAGCAAACGTCAATGAAGTTCTTCAACCTCATTCAAGCTAAATGATACTCAGACCACAATGAAGAGCAAAAGCAACATAAACACAAACTTACCAAGAGTCTTAGCAATAACCACGAGCAGTGGTGGGTGGCGAAAGCGAGATGAACAAGGCATCAGCAGTGGATAATATCCCGTAACTACTAAGGCCTATTAAGGATACCTGAGTTATGATGGTTAATGCAAACATCACCGAGAGGGTGATACGCTGATAACCTCTCAGGACAAACAGGCAGAACGTTGGGCAGAACACTTTGAAGCCCATTTCAAATGACCCCCAAATACGCTTAAGTTGCCCAACATCCAATCAGCCTGAAGCTGAATGGGACGTAAGATGTCGGTCCTCTAACTATCCTTGAGGTTGAGAAAGCTGTATCGTACCTGAAACGATGCGAAGCAAAATTTGCCACTCGAAGTTTTCGACGACAGAGATAATAAATTACTGATTAGTTTGACGGACGTACTAGGTATTGTGTGGGAATCAGAGTTAATCCCGTACAACTGATCTACTTCACTCATCATTCCAGTTTATAAGAAGAGGGAGAAATACTCTTGTGACAACCATAGGGGAATCAGTTTGACTAATATTGTGTCCAAGATCCTAGAGTCCATAGTTATCCAACCCCTAACTGAAGCTCGAGAACAGTAAACTCGGGAAAACCAGGCAGGTTGCACACCTGAACGAGGGTGCATCGATCATATTTTTACCCGTCGACAGGTTCTGGAACACAGGCATACCTACCGGCAACTGATACCTGCCATATCTCTTGACCTGAAGGCAGCATTCGACTCCGTCGACGGCGAGATGTTGTGACAGTGTCTAAATAATGGAGTACCGGCACACACCTAACGCCAATCACAGTTCTCCACTCGAACTCACCCAAACGTTTTAGGGGGTAGGGAGAATCGTCATCAGAATTGAGGACAACCAGTAGTGTACGCCAGGGATGCCTACTGTCACCGTTTCTGTTCAACTTCAAATTAGTTGCATTAATAGACATAACCTCAAGTACATCTGACTTCAAAGAGATTGATCTACACTCTGCAGACTATCTGGTTTATTTAGAGTATGCAGATGACACCGTCCTGCTAGGTGAAGATGCTAACAAAATGCAGGGTCTTCTGAAGGCATTCAGTAGAAATCCGCATGTGTTTGGCTGGCATGCAATTCGCATCTTTTAAATGTAAGATGATGCTCCAGGACTGGTTTAGAACTACTCCTAGTTTGTTGATAGGTAGTAAAGTGGTTGAATTCCCTAACTACTTAACTTACTTGGCGAGTTGCATCAGTCGGAACGGGTTTGTTGCTGCCTCATTTGGCATTTTCCAACTTGGGTCACCTTCAGTGCCAACTGACTACTCCCTAAAGAACGACTATACTGCACTGCAGTCCGTTCTGTCCTGCTATAAGTCTGCATGACGACTGTCAAAAGTAGAAGATATGAAGCGGCTACAGGGTTTTCATCACATATGTCTTGGTATCAATGCTCGCGTATGGTTGAATCACCATGTGAGCAATGTCAAAGTCAGGCGAAGGCTACTAGGCAAGGAAGAAAAATCGGTCAATGAGGTTGTGAACCTTCAGGGATTGAGGTGGCTCGGATATGTATGTACTGCACAAGATGAGCCACCATTTACCTCAACGTGCAATGCTAACAGGAGCTGAAGTAGATTGGATGAGGGCTCATGGGGGTCAGAGAAAGACGCAGGACTAGTGCATGAAGGTTCTGACTGTTGGTCTGAATCCTGTGGGGAGATGTAGACTACCTGGCTGGGGTCCCCGAAACGAAAGAAATCAGGGGTTGAGAATTCTTGGTGACATAGTTAAAAATTGGTCACGGTAACGCAGATGTATTCACTCTTTAACGTTCTCTAAAAGCTGAATATTCGCACCATCCTTTATCTTAAAATTTTTATTTACTCACACAACCTAGTCTACTTTGATATGTCTTTCCTACCAACTTATCCTTTGTATAGTACTGTGAATTGTGGCAAACTAAACCAATGTACTTATGTGTGAGGTTCTACGCTGATTCTGTATCTGTCAGACTAGTGTCAATGTTTAAAACACAATTCGAACACTGAATCTACTTTTTCAAGCGTCTAATCATTAACCAGGGAATTATCAAGTTAAAAAAGTCACATCTTAAAAAATGGTTACATCTAAGTCTCAGAATGTGAATTTACTCCAGGTTGTTAACTTGTAGTGCGTTTGTAGAACTCCTTTAATAGATGTTTCGATATTAGAGTGATTTAAATTCATACAGAACTTTTTGTTGATAGTCTGAAGTCAAAAAGATAACGTTTTGCAGTGCGAAATTGTACACCAGTATTCAACCGATGAGTCGAAACTAACATTATGAAAACAAGAATACCTACCATGTGGGTAGATAGTCAAAAAAAGTAACACATGCATAAGCTTTACACATGCGGTTGGATAATAACTAACCTTTTCATTGAAACACGATATCAAATCATCTATGTACTCTTTCATTCGTTGGTAAAACATAAACCGTTTGCAAGGTTGGGCAACTTTTCACGGGCTTCTCCAATGACGAGCTTGCCTTGTTCTAATTCGCTTTTCGCTTCTATTAACGACGTCTTATGCTTGTTTAGAGATTCACTACATTTTTTATATCTGAAAAAAGATAATCAATAAACAATACACTATGCAACTATTTCCGAGATAATAGGGAGGAGAATTTACAGAACAGAACATCAGCTTGAATGACACAATCAGAATATGAGATTTTGTACATTTTTGACCAACGCACTCTGCTTCGTGAACAATGTATAGACAAGACAGCAGGTCTTATCTAGAAAAAATAAGTCAAGTGATGAAGTCGTATACATTCATTGACTAAAGTGGCTGGAACTCAGGTTGCGCGTGCAGAGACACTCCTCTGAAGTGAAACCTTTGTTGAAGTAGAAATATGATTTGAAAAAAGTCAACAGCAATGGAGATAAATTATGGCACCAGTGCATAAGGTCCTAAAGTATTGGTCTAGACCATGTAGGGAGACGCAGACTTTTTGGTTCGCGTCCGCAAAACAGAATAGATCGATAATTGTCGAAAATACGTTAAATGCTACATAATTGATGATAACGCGAACATAATTACACAAAATACATTCGTCTTAATGGTATTGTCACATTTAGCTGTTAGCTAGAAACCCGCTTTTTCAACCCATGGTTTCCCAAAATCTTTTGATGGTATTATTTCATGTATCTTTCTCTCTACCTGAGTAGGGTATGTGAGATGCTGCAATTTAAATAGCTATGAAGCGATGCTAGGTTCCATGTTGATGTCCATTTGTCAGTTAATCACAACAATATTTTAGAAATACTCTGCTTGTAAGTGCCACCAGTTATAAGACCTATGGCTTGAACAACCTGATGACTACCTCCAAATATCCGACGCCAAACAACATGTTTTTATAAAGCATTTTTGTAATTGATAGAAATGAATGATAGGAATAAATTACGGTTCACAGTACTATAATAACTACCATTTGACCACCAATCGATAAGGATCAGCCTTCAATAGCGGACTGCACACCTCAGAAATGCTTGTCTGACTGATAGCACTTAGTAACACGATCTCTGTTTTCAGACGGACTATAACTTTTCATCAAGGCTTCTAAACCACTAACATAATAAGACTTCCAAGCAATATTTCTAATTGATTGCCTCTAAACATCTAATGCACAGTTTACACAATCACTACGTAAACAAAAGTAGTTCATTTTCTGTACTACTGGTAACGGTTATAACATATCCTTTTGTTACAATGTCGCCAAATTTCTTTGTTAAATTAGATTTAGGAAACATAAATGAACAGTCAAGACAACAGAAAAGTAACAATTTCATACAAGATTTTCAAGTTATGGGTAATATTTATGTACTTATTTCGTGAAGCAGTACAATTATCCCTGTAACAATTGTTTACACATGAGCCAAAGGAGAAGATTTGAAAACACTAAGAAAATAGCGGGAGGAAAAGTGAAATTGATCGCCTACATGCATACAGGACATAGAAGAACTCAACCATGTAGTTTAAAAGGTGTCAACCGCAAAAAATGCGATATTGTCTTGAGCACTATCAATATGGCAATTTTGAAAAGGAAGTAAGTCGGCGTTTTCTCAGTACAGCCGTAAACTTTCAATACCACAATTTAATGAGAAGACACGGATCAAACTAACTTAGCTAGAAATGATATTATGATGTCTTCGTAAAAATGTTTGCGTGCTGAAGAAGCATCGCTTGGTCAATATTGGAGTCAGACGTAAAATCGTTTGGTACGAAAAGTAAGATTCTAAGCTTGAACCGAACTGAATAAAGAGAACACATACTGCATAACGTTGGTTACTATGTACCATGGGATGCGATGTTATGCATAACTAGTTAACCCTTATCCCAACACACAACAAGGGTAGATGGAGGAAAAATAGTAAGGAAAAAGCCTAAGAGTAGTCAGTATAGTGTATAGAACCAATAGATCGGTTAGGTCTCTGACCATTAGTTTGAATTGCATAAAGAACTGTAGGTCATCCACTTTCATTTACAAAGACAACCAGAATTAATAGTTGGTGGCTAAAAATAGTGTGGCAGTGACGCAGATGAATCAACACTTCACTTTTTTCAATGTTTTCATGATGCTTTTGTTTACATCCACATTCTCTAGATTTTCCTTCGGTTTTTTCAATCATCATATACACAACTAGCTTCAATAGTTTGCTTTTTCCCTAAATAGTTTTCTTCATTGTACTGTTATGAAGTGTAACACCATGATGTAATATGGGTTTCTACCAGGTCCTAAGCCGTTGATATGACTACTAAGGTTATTTTCTCATCCTTCGTTTCTCTTTTTGTACTCTATATTTCTTTTGACTGAATTTTCTTATCTTCATTTTGCACCTCACTACCTTCCTACTTGATGTACTCATATGAAGTGTGACAACTCGGACCGTTACGCAGTAATGCCTGGTCCTATGTTGATGTTGATGATGATGGCTAAGGTTATTGAATAAAGGAGGATGCATGATGAATGCAAGCACAATTTTTGTCTTATTTCATTTGCGCTATCGGTTTGAAAAAGCTCAGTCTCAGCTTAACTAATTCAGAAAAAATATGTGAGATAATTTCAAGTACTTTATGTTTATCATATTCCACACGATACCACAGGAACGATTAGTATCTATACTTTACTATAGCGTAGTAACGTTACCCTTAGCGTGTTGAACAATAGCGTAATCGTGATAGAGATACAGAAAGTAATTTGCCAATAACTTAATTACACTACCTATATTGCTATAAATTCATCTTATCTTTCAACAGTCACCAGTACAGCTTAGAAGCCTTTTACATCTACATACTTGTTAGATACATGAATTAAACTTAAAGTAATCACTCCTTGGTCGATCCCAGTACTAGGGGGGTTCTTTAGTTAGATCCTGAATCTATTCTCAGCAATCCCCTATTAAAATTTTTTAGGCTTTTCATTGTAGTAAAACTTTATTGAGATCATTCTCGGACAGCCAAAGACAAAATACAACATTGGTACATGAAATTTACAACCTAATAATCGAAAACGAATCCAAAGCATATTGGACCTGTTTCTAAAGTTGATCCATTACTAAACTAAGCGGCAGACCACACACATAACAGTTTCTGCTGAACTTAATTACCACTGGACATACCAATAATAAGTGTCGATTTCTATACTTACTTCGCTTCCAAATTTTCTTTCAGCTTCAATAATGTTATGTCGGTAACATTCAGTCCAGCGAATGAGGTAACATCTGCGTTTTTTGAATCTTCAGTGGTAAGAATTGGCTGAATAGCTTCTAAAACAGCAGGATTCTGGAGGAACAATACCAAAAACAACAGCGAAATGTAAAACTCATAAGTAGTGTTAGGAAAATAATTCCAGTATCTTGAGGGCGCTTTTCTCTCCAAAATATGGTCGAACTCAGTGGTTGTAATCCGAAGAGTCTATTGACCTACCGAATGACTGAATCACGGAAAGTATCCCTATAGTAAGCAGAGAAGCTATCACTGAAGCGTAGTATGTTTCTACGAAAAGGCAAATGAATAACGTTACATGAGTGGCTGTAACTAAAGAGGTCGATTTAAAACCTAATTATTAGGTGGAACAAAAGGCAACAGCTTAAACTAAATCAGACAACATTTACAAAAGCTTGAATGAACACTTCATAGCTGAAAGCGATTCCACGAGAAACGTAAACAATTCAGACGAAAAAACACCACAAAATCGGTAAGTGAAAGACAATAATAAGATATTTCCTGAGCACTATAATCATACAAAACCGATCAACATTCCCTTTCCAAAACATAGCGACTCTTGAAAGTTGAGTAGCCACGAAGAACCAAATGCTTCCATGTTTCTAGCAGTACAGAAAACCTACTAAACCGTTACGTAACTTCGCCAATCTCATTCCCCTCTTGTCGCTGCTATCTATTCTTGCAAAGATTTCATACCCCAGCAACTATCGATAAACATAGAAAAAAGACAGAGACACCATTCTAGATACCTGAGACAAAACTGACAATTCCACCGAGAAAGTTTAGTACTAAGCAAAATCAGCAAACAAACCTGACTTGGCGAAACTCTGAAACATCCACCCGTAGAAGTGTAATGAAATCTAAACTACACATTAAAGATCCCACAATGGCCGTTTGCATGACATCGTCGGCAAACAATAACTTTTAGAGATCTATGAAATTACTCAGAAAACTCTATTCCCCGCGTAGCTAAAGCCCTACCTCATAAGAAAGAAGGTGCGCTGGTAAACTGGGTAACACGAAGTAACCAATTGCGTGCTATCAGAGTTGAATGAATCCACAAAACTCATCTATGCCTGTTGGCAATCTTTGACTAACTCCCCACCGACTGCAATTCAGATGATACAAAGAATAAAATCTACAAAGACCCATCAACTTTGCTACATAAAGTAAGCCATTCAAAAATATTTATCGTATCCCGAGGCTTTACTACTCAAATAGGGAAGCTGTAGCAATCACAAAGGCATCTTCGGGATATTCGTGGTGTGCCATGACGACGAAATCGTAACAAACGCTCTTTTTTGGTCAGCGCATACTTCAGGAATAAGAAGAGAGATCATCTCACTCGGCGTCTGTCAAAAATAAGCCAATCGTGAACACAGATCATTTCTCCAAAGACCTTCGTTGTGGAGGTTTAATGGAAGATTTCCACTATTTCTAAAGTGCTTTCTTTAGCTCCAATCAAGCGTTAGTATGGACACGTTTGCGTTTGCACTCTGATGGACATAGAAAGCACTGAGAAGTGAAACCTATGCACCCAACTGGAAGATGAGCACCTCGGGTGCACATTTAGGTAAGAGGCGGCTGTAAACAGTTGCCTAAAATTTTCAGTAGCACTCATCCAACAAAGCCACAGAACAGTGGTGGTAGTCACAGTGTGTTTCATGAGATGGATTGAACGACCGATTATTCCAGCCAGTGAGACAGGAAAGAAGTTTATGTACGACAACCACAGAGATAAGTTTGATCAACATCATATCTAAGATCAATCCTAGGGTTTACAGGTATCCACCACTAAACCTTTCGAATGTATGACTACTCTGCACCAACTCCTAATCTATATGCAAGGAGTGACATGGTGAAACAGATTAGGCACTCCACTTACTTTGGGAGTTTCATCAACCTGAATGGGTTGGTTGCTGGCGAAATTTCAGCCCGGATAAAGAAAGCACGTCCAGCAACTGCTTACTGACAACATCGGTGAGATATCCGACTATATACTAAGACTCCAGCACACTATGTAGGAGTCCGTTTTGCAGTTATGCAGTCTATCATAATTATTTTCCATTCTTATTTATTGTTGTTGTCCACATATGAAGTTTCACTTTCAAGAATATTCACGTAGTAATTTTCTAGGTAGTAAACCTTCCTCTTACATTCCTAACTATTTCCTCTGCATTAACTGTTTACTGCTCATTATCTGTGTTATCGGTAGGTCCTGTCAATAACTTTTTATCAACTTGATAAAATTATATTGCAGTGTATACATTTCGATACTGTTTGCGTTGTAAGCAGTTGACAGGAGTCCTCGAAATAATAAAAATGAGCACGTGTTGCTGTTGTACTTGCACTGTTCAAGTTTATCGAACAAGCATATTAAAACCAAGAGAGACAAGGCAAAAGACATTCTAAATAATTTAGAAACTATTTCAAATCAAGTTGAACATCAACTCACTCCCACCATGAAACCGAATGCTATTCTTGTTTCATTTTCGTTTTAGCACTATCAATTTAACATTCACACTGACTAAGAACTGTTCGTCAAACACTCACTACGACTTTAAATCAACTAAGCAATACAATATTGAAAGTAAAATTGTCAGATGTGCTAAACATA